CCGATCAAATTTATATATAATCATTTTCTTTTTAGATTTCTACTTTTAAAAGTTATATTTTTGTATTCAAAAAATTATGCTTGTTTTTCAAAATTTTATCGGTAGGTTTACCTTTTTTTAAATATATTTTAATTCTTAGTCATTTTTTAACTTTGAAAATTTGACGTAGATTTTGAAAATCTTTGTTTAACAGGATAAGGAACACTTGAAAGTAAAATTTCTAAATTTAATTTTTAAAAATAACAAATAAAAAATAAAATGATTAGTTGGGGCATAATATTCCACCACTGCTCTCTGTCTATGTTTTGAAGTTTTTTTCTTAAATAATTTAATATTATTATTAACTTTACGTCCTTAAATTGGTAAAAATTATTGTTAACTGATGCTGATATAGTGAAAAATAAAATAGAAATAAAATCTATTATATACTAAAAACGTTCGCCAATTATTTAATTATTATAAGTGAGCAATGAAACTATTAAAAGATAACAACGATACAAATATGATAATTATTCTTTTATATATACAACAATATATGTACTGAGAGTGGAATTTGAATTTACAATTTTTTAATATATATCTTTGTAACTTTTAGTGATGCGGTGTGACAATCATGGATGAAGCATATTCACTTTCATCTTTGTCATCACTTTCTAGAGTATCATGAAAAAGTTCCTCCATTTTCTTCTCTCTTTTTTGTGTTTGATATATATTTTGTTTTTAAAAATAAGTTTTTTTCGTTATAAATTTCTTTTATGTATATTTTAAAATTTTTAAACATTTTCTAGACTTCCTCTTTATAATGGTCTTTGTTTTTAGGATTTTTTTTTTTTTAAATTTCATGCCATCTCGAACTTGTCTCTTATAATTACTTTCTTTCATGACCCAACTGCCATTCAGCCTCTGCTACCACCAAATGACTGCCCTGAATCCACACCGTCGCACCTGGAAGTGCTTATAATTACTTGGTTTTAGTTTTCACTCCTAAACAAGACATTTTTAAATTTTGTAATAAAATTTAAAGCTATTTTATTTAAAGCTATTTTATTAGCTTTTTGTTTTTGTTTTTTTGGTAAAAAAGCTAGGTGGGATGGTTAGAACTCACGACTTTTTAACTAAAAAAAATTGCAAATTACTGCTCTACGTTTATTCTAAATTTTGAAATATGGTCAGGATTTTTTTAGGTGAGGATTTTTCTAATAATTAGAAATTATTATTATTTTGGCTAAGATTCTGAAAGCTTTTCATAATTTTAGAATGAAATACTTTTATTGCTACTGTTAAAATATAGGAACAACGTTTAGGTTATTACCTTTTTTATTTCTCATTTTCAATTTTATATATTAAAAAATCTAAGTCTTCGACGATTGTTTATATATTTCAATTTTTTAATTTTTAGAAAAATTTTCTATAAAAATTTTGTAAACAAAAAGTAAATAGGTTTCTTATTCCATTATCATTTTGTTGTAAAATATAAATACAAAATATTGTTTTATCATTCTTCAACCTATGGGTGTTGGCCCTATTTTTCTTTATTAAAAATAAAGAAACAAAAATAAAGAACAAAAACGTTATCTAATAGACCTTTAAATACTGATATCTCTATAATGATCACTGCTGAAAAATTGATAGTTGATTTGTTTTTTCCAGAAATTTCTATTTTTACATACCTCTTATTAGTCAACAATTTAATGATGGTTGGTGACTAAGTATTTGTAGGGCATAAGATAATTAAATGATTTTTTAAGCATGAAAATTTAATTAAAAAGGTGTTTTCATTTATAACACATCAAATCTATTATTATTATTTTTTTAGTACAACATGTGGTGTGTTGATCGAACTTACACCCTCTTGGATATATGCCAATTACGGCTGAGCTATCCTCACTCTGGTTTTTTTTTTTTTTTTTTAAGCACTCACTTTGGTATTTTATGCAATCTATTATTTATTATTATTATTATTATTATTTGATATCCCAATGTATTATTTATTACCTACAACCACTGTATTGTTTTTAACTATTTAAAATCATCTCTCTGTGTATATGAGTGACTTGGTATACTGATTTACTTGAATAATATATATATTATATAAATTTTTACTTTTCATATATTATCTCATTCAAACAAGTTTAGGAATCCAAAATTCAGGCCTACAGAGCCCGTACTACAATTTGGGCCGAGATTTCCTTCTGCCATTAGCAGGCCATAATGTTGGTCCTGGTAATTGAAATCTAAAATTCGGGCCTACAAAGCCCGTACCATAACTTGGGCCTATTTTTCCCTCTTGCATTAGCAAGTCGTCATGTTTAGCCGTCAAAGAAATGCAAAATTCGGGCCTACAGAGCTCGAAGCCCATGGTGGTCTATGGGCCTAGCTTTCCTTCGGCCACCGCCAGGCCCATCATTTTGGGCCAGTTAAAGGAATCCAAAATTCGGGCCTTCACAAATTGGGCTGCGATAGTGTGAATACGATACATGTACAGGGTGAGAAAGCAATTTGGAAAAAGTTGGAGGGGCGTCTAACAAATTTGACGAAACTTTCCCAAAATTTGCGGCGGTCGTGTATTGGTCTTTACAAGCTATCTACTTGATCCCTACGCCCTTTCTTCTCCGTCCCTCCCTCTCTCTCACCGGTAATTCATCGCTCCATGGCTCTGCCTCAAAATCAGTACCAGCAACAGTATCAACCACAACATCAACACCAACAACAGCAATCTATTTCTTTCCGGTAATTCTCCTTCACCGCAATGTCAAAGGAGATTTTTTGTTATCGTTAAAACCCTAGCGATCGCCTCCTTCCTACAGTTTCGATTCTTTTCTGCATTCTTTTATTTTTGTATTGTCTCTCTAATTGCAGGAACTTGTACACTGCTGATGCTCATGTTTCTCAGCCGATCTCCTATTTCAACCCCTTCAATTTGCAGGATCATTCCCAGCATCCGCCCTACGTTCCTCCATGTAAATTCTCTTTTCCTTTATTTCTTTCATTCCTTTTACTTTGTGTGTTTCTTGGTTTCCCTGTCAGCTCATACTTTTGCTGAGAATTTGGGTCGAGACAATTCGAAGCAGTATATTTTTTGTTGGTTTGTTATTATGACAAAAAAAAAGCGCTATTTCTTACCAAACAGTTCATTTTTTTGTTCATGTTCTGGAATTTCCAAGGGTTACAAATTTAATAGAGACCATTTAAAGACTTTGGACTTAATTTTCGTTTTTCTACATCAACTGCCTCAGCAAACAAATGGAATCTCTCTGATTTAGCTCCTGTTTGTTCAAAATTCAATCTCAGCTTTTTAGTTGTTTGGACCAGTTTCATGTGCTTCTTATTTTAGACTAACATTTTGTTTACGGCATGTATTTTCTGCTATTCTAGTTCATGTAGTCGGGTTTGCACCAGGTACAGCCCCTGGACCGGATGCCAGTGATGGAGTAGCAGATTTTCCCTTGATGTATGGCATAGAACCCAAGAAGAAAAGATTAAAGGAGCAAGATCTTTTTGAAAACAATTCCCAGATATCATCCATTGATTTCTTGCAGCCACGTCCAGTTTCGACAGGACTGGGTTTATCACTTGACAACACCCGCATGGCTTCTACAGGAGACTCGCCTTTGGTTTCTCTTATAGGTGAAGACGTTGATCTCGAGTTACAGCGACAGGATGAAGATATTGAGAAGTTCCTCAAAGTTCAGGTCTGGATTACCATATTGTTTTGACAATTGATATATATAGTGTTTATTGAACTGGAAATATGGAAATCAGAGGGAGAGTAAAGGTTCTCAGACTATTTGAGAGGTCTGAGTCTCTCCTTCAACTAACTACCGAACGTGAAGGTCACATAGCTCCCTCTATACAAAAGATACCCTTCCTGGCACATGCTAATTGCTAACCTATCTTATTAATTCTTTATCATGAACTTGGTAGTGTTGTGGTTTATTAAATATATTTCTTGGTGTTTTGATGAAATAAAACAAGATGCAACAGGTCTATAATGAAGTTTGGTCTCATGTTCAAGCTTGCTTTTAATCCCGTTATTTTCACTTTTTGGATAGATACAGAATGTTGATTCCACTATATAATGAGCTTGGCTATCTATCATTCAATTTGCCTATGAATTAGTTGCTTGCCATTTTTTTAGACGTGAGTGTCTAAGCTGACTTACCTCAACTAATCCCACAAGATTATTTCTTTAACCCTGTACCATTTGATTTTGAAAAATTCATAGTTCAACCTATGACTTCAAAGACGTTGGAGTTTATAGCTTGTCCTTTTGACCATTGGATGTTGGCCAATCCTTCATGGTTGTCTTATCAGGGTTATCTTTGTTTCTGAATTTGGGTTTCAATTAGAGGCAAGTTAATACTGTTATGATACATGGTGCTTTCTTTTACCTTGTGGAAATAAGTTCCAGTGTGTTCCTTTTACATTGTTTTTATTGATAGATCTTTTCTTTGTAGAAAAGAAATATTGTTAGAAGTTAGAATTTTTATCTATCTATTTTCTCACAGCATTATTTTGTTTTAATAATTTGGCCGCATATCCAGTATGCACTCTCCTAACCTTTTCTTACTGTTGCTGGCTATTTATAAGTCAGTGTGGCACCTTGTTTCTTGTTTACTTAATAGTTCTCTTTGTGATCAGTTACCACAATGGCTTTAGTGAATTGTTGCATTGCATGTTTGATATTGGCCATTTTATTACATCAAGAATGTCTTCATAGCCGTTCCAATTATGGGTGGTTCTGAATTACAGTCATATACCTTCCTCCTCTAATCCCCTTTTTATCAATAGGGTGATAGGTTACGACATACCATATTAGAGAAGATCCAAGCCAATCAACTCCAGACTCTCTCATTTGTGGAGGAAAGAATTCTTCAGAAACTGCGTGAAAAAGAAGCTGAGGTGGAGTGTATTAACAAGAAAAACATTGAGCTCGAACAACGAATGGAGCAGCTGACTGTGGAAGCAGGTGCTTGGCAGCAGCGGGCTAGATATAACGAAAACATGATCACAGCCCTCAAGTTTAATCTTCAGCAAGTGTATGCCCAAAGCAGGGATAGCAAGGAAGGATGTGGGGATAGTGAGGTCGAAGACACTGCCTCGTGCTGCAATGGTCGGTCCCTTGATTTTCAACTGCTTTGCAGCAACAGCAATGACATGAAGGAGTTGATGACCTGTAAGGCTTGCAGGGTTAATGAAGTGTGTATGCTTTTGTTGCCTTGTAAGCATCTCTGCCTGTGCAAGGATTGCGAAAGTAAGCTTACCTTTTGCCCCTTGTGTCAATCCTCTAAATTCATAGGCATGGAAGTTTATATGTAGAGGGATGCTTTGTGTACGACTAAAGTATATGCTTAATTCGTATATGTTTCTCATGTGATAATGATGTCTTTGTTTCTGCTAAGTTGTTCCCTATGTTATACGCGTCTCATTTCATAGAGTTGTCATACGATTTATGACTTAACATCTTGAATTTGTATACTAACTATCTTTTATTTGTAGTTAATATCCAAACGTTTATAGAAATAATATAGACTTGTACGCTGGAGGTTTGTCTTTTGTCAATTTTTTTTTTCAAAAGTGAATGGATGTGTATTAACCTTTTTTCTTTTTTAATTGATACAAATGTTTCTGAACAATTTTATATTTTTAAATAGAAAAATGTTGGTTCTTTTTTCTTTGTACATAAGAAAAATTATAAAATGTATTTTAAATCTGTATCTAATATTTATGAGGGGCATACAAATTTTAAATTTGAATCTAATGATTATAAAGGTAGACACATTGTAGCAACCACTTACAATCATTTTTCTAACTAAAGATTGTTTCCTACAGATAGGGAAATCACTTTTTCAATTGAAAATTGTTTTCTACCGATGGGAAATGCAGATGATAATGTATTCTCTAGACTAGTTCCCCCCGACCAATCGATGTTGTAGTTTGACGTGATTATAAATGCAACCATTTTGACAATTTTTATTCTGACTAATACAAATTTATAGGCATTAGTGTTCTTACTCTCTTACTCTACGGATAAATTGAGGCATGTTATGTGAGTGATCATCAAAGACAAGTTTTACTTATTTCACAATCGTGTTTGATAAATGGAGAAAGTATGTAGTGCAACAATATTGGATGAGTTAACGTTAGAGTTCAATATAAATACAAATTATCCTCCAATCAGAAAAAAGAAGTCGGAATGGATTCAAATTATAGAAATACTCTCCACAAAATGACTAATAGAGATTTACATAAAAGCCTAAAGTTAGCAAATAGCAACAATGCATGTATTTATTTTTTCCTGAACAAGCATAATGAAACACAATCGGTAAAAATGGGATAAAAAAAAATCAATAATGTATACTCTTGCCTATTATTAGACACATGAACATGTTACTAACAAACTAAGTAGCATCTGTTAATTATTAAGTAAGCCAATTCAATCCAACCGAATTAGGGTAGTTCAATTGAGTAAGATGCCTATTATTAAGAGACCCAATTAGACAAAAAAATTGAAAGCTAAGAAATCTATAAACACCATTAAAATTTAAGGATATATTAAACACAATAAAAAATCATGAGACCTATTAGCATTTTTCAAAACAAAATTGGTCCTATTAGACCCAGTCTTGAAAGTTCAATAACTGAAAAATAACATTATTATTATTATCAACAATTCTACCAAATTATTATGACACAAAGTAGCATAAAAATTGTCTCACGATAGAAATTTCATTCATCCATGCTATGAAAAATCTGAAAAGAAGCCGCGAAAGGTGCCAACATGTAAACAATTTAATGCTTATGCAGAATGGCATTCATAATTCTCCATCAAGATCTATGCAATTCAACGTGAAGGAAAATCTTGATAATTTAAGGGGTGACCTGCTAAAGGCAGACATGAAGAGTCCATGGATAGATGATATAATGTTAACATAAATAGCATAAATATAAGATTCATGGTTAACGGAAGAACATCAACATTATATACACAACAAAGCATCAATTCCACCTACATTCATGTCCTCCGTCCCATTTCGGTGAATAAACCGACATCTCCATGTTCATCAGGAGAAAAATTCCAAACATTTGGCCCATTGCAAATTTACATCCACTGAAACAAACAAGAAAACAAAAAGGAAAACTACTCATTTCCTGAAAAATCAGGGGAAGAATAAATGAAAATTAACAACACAAAGAAAGGCAGTCCAATTACCTTAACTGGTAATCTGCTCCGCCATCCAATCTTGCTAACTCCATGAATGAGTTTCTTTTCCATTTAAGAGATGGTTCAATAACTAGACGGTGTCGCTTTCCTGAGGAATTTAAATCCCATCTGGAATTTAATGTCAGGCAAGAATAAGCCTGAGAGTGAGAATAAACATTCATCTTCAGATGTCTGTGACCCGACGGTAATGATTTTTGCTGAGGAAAATTAATCAACAAGATCATCTAGTTCTAGATAATCTCGCTCCAGAATAGATATTAGTTGCTGTTTGTCTATAACATGAGCAGACATTGAACCGGTAGGGATTACATGCGAGGGAGTCGTCTGCACACAAATTACAGAAATGTAATGTCATGAAAGGAAAAAAAGCCCAACCATTTGGAATTGAATTAAAATGAATAACCATGGGATATGGTTTATTTTCTTAGGTCTTTGCCCCCAACATTAAGAATCATGTGGTAGAAACAGATTATGATAATGTAGAAGCAGAAAAATGTTTGATACAAACTAATAATACCATCTCGCAAGGATAAGCTTCTGATGGAACTTGTAAAGTGGTAGTAGCAGAATCAGGATCAGTAATAACTTGACAATTTGGCTTCATAGCCTGTCCCAGTCCCATTTCATATCTAGTGTGGCCATTGACTGTGTTCAAAATATCTCCTTCACATGCCTCAGCATCAACCATATTAGTTGCTCCGATTCCATCACGCTGATTATGACATACTTCTGAGACACTTCCTTCACCATAAGAACTTAAGCCATTTTCCAAAATGCTATTTCCCCGACTACTTAGAAATACACGATGTAATACAAGAGAAGCCTGCGCATCAAACACGAATTTTCGACCTTAGGAATCCACAATTACCCCCAAAACCCTATCCCTAGTAGAGACAAAGATAACATATCAAATCAAACTCAGTAATTTCCAAATGGACCGTGATTAGTACAGTAAACAAATCAGTAGCAAAGCCTATTATAATCGGGTATAAAAGTGAACTGAATAGATTCTTTACAAACCAGGAATGTTGTACGATTAGGAAACGATGAAAAGGGAAAAGCAATTTTATATTACCTGATAATTATGTTATCTATGGTGAGTAGAAGAATCTGGATTTGAAATCAATAGTAGGTAAATTGGAAGGTGAACGAGCGAGCGAAGTACCTTAAGATGATCGCCTAGGGCATACTCGTACACGATCCAATTGGTCTTTACAGCATTTTTTATGGAATTCCCCAAATAGAAGACGAAACTCCTCTTGATTCCGAGAACAATTCCTCGATGGCCAATCACTTCCCTCACTCTCCCCTTCCTTTTCCAGTACCCGCTCTTCATTCTTATCCGTCCTCCCCTGTTTTCCCTGAAAGCAGTAGCAGTATAGTAGTACCAGTGCTTCTTTCTTCCACTGGAGCCATAAGAAAAACACGCGAAATCCGGCAAATCGAATGGATCGTAATCGAACGGGTCGAGCTCCTTGATTAAGTTGCAGGCGGCGGAAGCACCATTGTGGGGCGAATTGGGGAAAATTGTGGCGGAGGTCTTGTTGGAGAGGTAGGAGCGGAGGAGCTGCTCATCGGAGGGGAAGAAACGGCAGCCGGGAGGAAGAGAAAAAGATGGCGCCGTGAACAACTGAGGATCTTCCATAAATTCTTGTTCCAGAGCAAATGAAGGTGTTTTTGCTCCTTATTTGTAGCGCCCAAAGCGGAAACTTGCAGCTGAAGGCTTTCTTGCTTGCCTGCGTCGCGTGCATACCAGTGCTGATGCATTCGTTTGTTTGGGCCGTTGGATATGCCATCGCAAAGTTCACTTGGAATTTAACACCACGTGTCATAATCCTATCGTAGCGATTGACTGCATTAGCTGACTGAATTTGCTTCGCCCTGGGCTCTGATTGGCTGAATGACGGGTATGTCGAAGACTTTTTGGCTCTCGGTCTGGAATTCGAGATGCCACCTCCCCACTGATGTTTGATGCAAAATTTGAGAAATTGTTTCGAAACAGTTCTTAAAATGGTAATTCGATTATTTGAAAAAAAAGGTTCGCTTTTGTGTTTGATAACTATTCTTTTTAGTTTTTATTTTTAAAATTTTTATCTGATTTCTCACTCTTTCCTTCCATGTTATAAGAATATTTTTTAATTCTTAGTCAAATAAATTTTTAAAAAATAGATAATAAAACAACTAAACACAAACTTAATTTTAGAAAAGAAAAAAAAACGAAATAGTTGCTAAATGGATCTTGTAAAAAAAAATTTAGATGATGTTTTGTACCACTGAAATTCACAATTTCAAATTTTCATTTCAATAGGAATAACAACTTTATTTTTGTGAAAAACAATAAATCATTTGTGTGAATACAGTTAAAGAAAATAATATTTTTAAAAAATTAATTTTGAAACCAAATATTAAAAATTAAAAATTACTTTTAAATATATAAAAATCACTTCAAATTAAATGTAAAATTAATTTTAAATAAATTTCTTTTTGGAAATCACTCGTTCACTCTCAAGTACACATTTATTATGCTGATAGCCAATCATATAATATAATTAGTATTTTATTTATTCTATGATTTCTAGCTGATATTGCCAAAATTAAATGGAATTATGTAACTCAGCTGTTTGGGTTTCACATGAGTGGGTCCGAGGAGGACAGATGTGATACTAAGAATGGGAAGTATGAATCCACACGTGCGGTTGGTTGGAAAATATTATGCTTTATTTTCCGATCGGCTGCGTTGGCCTTAGGCCCACCCAATTGTACATATTCTTGTTTTTATATTGCTATAATTTCCAATTATGAATTTATTTTTGACAGTTGAAAACAAAAACAACTTACCTTATTTTAAAAAATCCATATTTCTAAAACATGGATATATCGTCATGGATGACATTCCCATTTCTCACGACAAAAAGCAATACGAGCAGAGGACTGGGCAGCTATTGAAGGGATAATATTATTATTGACAAATATTCTAAATACCTCCTTTTTTAATAAAATAAATAACTTGTTATGGGTGGTAAATTTTCACCCTGACACGTGGCTGTACCTTGTGAGACCACCTATGTCATAGACTCTACCAAATCAAGTTAAAGCATGAAATTGATAGATTGGGAAAATTTAATCTATTTATAACTATTTCAATACTCCTCTCACTTGTGGGCTTGGAAAGATGCAAAATTGCAACACTCTAACCTAGACTCTGTGTTAAGGACAACGGTACCTATTGTTCGCTTTGGTATAGTCCTCACGGTTTTGCTTTTGGTTCCACCCAAAATGCCTCATACCAATAGAGATAATTGTCCTCCCTTATATACCATGGATCACCCCTGCCCCTAACCAATGTGGGACTTTGTTTGCACTATTTACAAACCCAACACTCAACCCAAAAACCTAAGCGAATGGGTTGGTAGATTTAATTCATTTATAAGTATCTCAACAGCAGTCGACCCACATGCATTAATAGCCTGTGTCAGAACCTCGGGTAGGAATTCCTAGAACCAAACTCCAAACAATTGGAGAAAAATGATTCCACGTTGTTCAAAAATGTGCACTATCTATCGATCACACATCGCCCAATGGTACAATCTAGATTCAAGAAGATACACACGTATCTCTTCCTCCTATAAAAGGAAAACTAAAACTCCTCCACAAGTTGATACACTAACTTGTAGCACACTAATCTCTCTTGATCTCTACTTTATTTACTAAGATTCAAACACCAACTTAAACATCACAAAGTGTTAAGATGAAGACTAGACCAGTGTTAGTTTAATTAGTTGTAGGTACTGCAAGAAACATTGCAAATTAATCGATTGTTGCACTCAATTTGGGCATCAACGTAACTACTTTGGATGTCCCAAAACTCTCTATTATGTGGTGGTAGGGATGGACAGCTTTATCCATCCAGTAGAAAAGTTTGTTTTTGATTCGGTTCTTTGAAAACTTGGTGCAATGAATTGGTCTAAAAGTTGACTTGGATAAAATATATAGGATGGATGTGAAATGGTTCAAATTGTCAACTTACATTTTTTTTCTTTTAATGTATAAAAAAAAAGATAAAACCGGGAGAACTCCCTCTAATTACTAAATTTGACTGCTTTCAAAAAATAATAATAATAACACTAATTTGACTCTCAAAATGATGATACAAATATGGTTTATTCCATATATTTGAACTATTTCAAAAGTTAGGATAATAAGTTGTTGGATGATTTTAACTTTTAAATTAGATTTTTAAAATTTAATTGTATATGTTTAATATGTATTTATTATTAAATATATTAATTTGTTAACATGAGTTTAGTTCAATTGACATATCTTTCTCCAACTAAAAGTTATGAATTTGAATCTTTGATTTTTTAGTCCGAGATATCTACATTAATGAATGGACTCTTCCAAAATGTTTTAGAATATAAAAATACATTGCAATACTTTATGGTTGGGACCTCAGGTTTGTTTCTAAAATTTTAGTTATGGAAAATACTCAGCTCATTGGCTTATTTAATCTACCATTGAAAAATTCACTCCTTATTATTAAAAAAAAAAATTATATTTTTGTCCCTCTGTCCCTTTGTCAAAGGCCATGAAAAGAAAACTACCAATTTTGTTACATTTGGTTTGGATAATTTTGAGTTGTGATTTAATTTGGGAACAAAAACAACTAGCG